CCTTCGCTATGTGTACGTGCCTCGGCCGTGCGCCTGTATCGCCGAGCTGAATAAGGGAACGAGCGTCAAAAGCGCATACAAAGATAGAGAATGGCACACACGAGTATGAATGCGTGTGTATGCCTATATTGCATAGGACGAGACGGAACTCACTCACTGGCTTTTTAACCGGAGCCACGGCGGGAGGAGGGAGGCTTGAAGGGACGAGTTTTCTCGAGTTAGAAAATAGCCTTTTTTTCGAGAATAATTCAATTCGAAAAATTCAGGGCGGGCGTAATTCATCGTTAAAGCGCATAGATAACAGCTAAGACATTCACACACGCGACGACTTCGAGTGTGCACGCTATGATATAACGATTTTCAATAAATAAGACTGCGTCGAATGTTTATTATACGCATTTGCATGGCGCAGACCGATCGATAAATTTAATTAGAAAGTTCGTGTCATTATTTGATAAAAATAATTCGTGTCTGGAGAGAGAGAGAAGGAGCATTGCGTGCATGGTACCGGCACGCATGAGAAACTTTCGTTTTTCAATTGCGATCCGATACCGAGTCCAACTCCAAAAATAGAACATTTCCCATGGTAATTTATTGAAATCGACAAAGAAATATCGCAGCTATCGGCGCTATCCTTCAAAATCACATACAAGACTCCGGGCATTATCACAGTCGAGCTATGCATCTCTGCTACAAACTGCGACGATCCGACTCGCAGCTCTTCTTAAGGGAGCTCTATTATAGCACGATCGAAGGAACTGGTTTGTACGTGCGTGTATATGTTGCTCGAGACGACTCACCGAGCGGATGATAACGAAAAGATGCCGAGGATCTGCGCCTCAGTTTTATGTATTTTACATTTACACAATTTGGAAAGTCAAGGAAATCGCGTTTATCGAGTCGTGAGAATTCAACAGTTCTTTCAATAGTCTATTGCTCTTTAAGTCTGACTATTCTTTAGCAAGTTTAAATGATTTTTCGGTCGATTTGTCGAATGCCCATCTAATGATTTTAAAAGTTAGCAGTTGATGTTTGCATTTCAAGCTGAAATATTGCAGCATCTGACCAACTTATTCATTTCCTACACTCGTCATATTTGTTCCTGCATGAGGCAATTTTTATTTTTTTGGTAAAAAGCTATTTGTGAAAATTTTCAAGAAATAGAAGAATTATTCATCCAATATTTATGAGTAAGTTCAATGTTTAATTTGACTATGAATTTAACACATTCAACGAGATAAAATAGTAAATCGATAAGAATTAGAAAGACAGAGTCTTACGTCATTTTAGGATTGATTTAATGGTTTATCTTCATAATTTTCAACTCCATTAAATTATCGGAGTGAATATATTTAAAAATAATTTATAAAATTTTTATGACCCTATTCTAACATGGAATTAAATTTATTTTTTGGATACTTCATAGATACTGCATCCGATTTTTTTTCGAACCAATTGATAAAAGCGAGAAAAAAATCGGCAAAGTGTAGAAGCAGTGGTAAAGAAGACCGATACGACCCCTCGTGTCGTTCGCTCAAAACTTGACTGCATCCGTTACCTTGCGCGTTCTGCACAGTCGACGCGAACGCGCAGCGAAATATTGCACATGCAGCAAGTCTCTTGATCGACGCAGACTCGACATTTACACTCGGCTCTCCATGCTTGTCACTGAATTTGTTTTTTTTTCGAATTTTGAAATAATCTAACCCATCCATCAATCATATTGAGCCTTCGGGTAAATTTTTCAGAGCTTGTTAAGTTTTGAAAAACTTTATGGTAAATTTTCTTCCTTTGGCTTGGCACGATAAACTTGCCGGGGCACGGATTAAATTTTTCTTGAGAATTTTAATCACAAGGTTTTGGGGCCCTGCATGCCACGCCAGCGCGCTGCAGCGGTTGTAATGATACCAATTATACATTTCTAATATTTCGGACCTCGTCGATCCCATCATGTTTGCATACATGCAAAGCGTACGTGTGCTGTGTGTGCGTGTACCAGATACCGACACGTTGCTCAATATCGGCACACTTTTGCAGGCTTGTAAACGAGTGTATATACGGCGCTCGGAGCGAGTATAATATGTTGATTATTCGGCGGTCTGCGCTAATGCATGCGCCGGACAAAATAACACGTACTCAAATGCAATTTTGCCAAAGCTATGTACACATCAGACGCTCTGTGAGACTGTATACACGACGACGGGGCCATATGTATCGTTCAAGTTTTCTCGAATTCTATCAACGAATTTTTTCACAAAACTACCCGCGACGACTGTATTTTATGATTATTTATTTACAGACACGCGTTCGATGAAGTAACGCTCGTGCATATGATTTTCTCCGAGAATATGGCATATAAAAATGAAAAATGCGATATTATAAGTGCCTTATGCATCATTGATATTTTATAATACGCACAGGCCCGGTCGCTCTTCCAGAGCCTTTCGAAACTTTTCTTTTTCTTCGAGTGCACCTTTTGCTCACTTGCAGTCGCTCCAAAATATTACTGTCTCTTGAAGCTAAATAATAGGAGTAGAAAAATAAAGTTATAGCACACAAAAATTTAAGTACCAGCAAATTGACTTTGTAAATTTATTTAATTAAATGAAATGAAAAATGTTTTCGTCTATCATTCAGTCTTTTCAAGGACATAAGTGAAAATATCAGCACATATAATGTCACTATCTGCTGGTACGAAAAGTACCCAATTGTAGAATAAAATATATCTTACATACAGATGTTTAGTCGTCGCTTTTAGCAACATTAATTCGATTCCCGTTTTCAGAGATAAAAATTTCGAGCCTGAATTACGAGAAAACTACTAAATGAAATATGATGAAATTTGGTACAGTTATTTACAGAAACAATACCGAAAGCTCCACAAAGCCGTTTTTTAATAATCAGTCATGATAAAAAGTTATTCAAATTTACATTTTGAGGGCTCGGTTGGTAAAAAACGCGCCGAACTTTCGAATTGATGTAAGTTTTGGTAGTGATCGATACGGCCGCTAACGCGACCTCGACTTGCACTACCTGATGTTACAAACGAATTTGACATATTCAATAAAATTAAAATTCAATTTGTTTATAAACTTAAAGTCAAGTTTTTAATTTGAATTCGTTTTCCAACGAGGCACAAGAAATTTCGCACGCGCAGTTGTAAACGCTAGAGCTCGGTCGTACTGCACTCGTGCAGGATGAATAGCAGCCCGGGCAATCTCTCATATATGCACGTGCCGTGGCGCGCGCTGCCTTTGCGTAAATATACAATTAACGTCGACCGAAAAACTGGATTTGAACTTTACTCGCGAGTCTTCCCAGTCTCGGTGCTTTGCTCGTGTTATATGTACGCGAGTGCAGCAGCCGCAGCGAATGACCAGCTTTACTTAATATTCCTCGAGGCGAGTATATTCATCATTCGGCTGCATGTGCATATAGCAGGCAGTGCGAGCAGTCACTTGCACTTACTCGTTACTGCTTTCTCGTCGTTTAAGTGCGCGCATGGATTTTTGCAATTCGATAATATTGCGTCACATTTTTTTTGCGACGAGGAAAAGTAATTTCACATCATCCTTGGAAAGCCATACGTATGAAGGCGTCAATCTTCGGGGCGAAAAAGTCATCGGGCATCACACGTGAAACAATCGTTGAACATAATGCGATCGTTACTTCAACGAGCCGTGCCCATGGCAAAGCGACAATATAATCAAGTCGAACTTGGTTGGTTTACTCACTACCTCTGTCTCGAAAGAGAGAGAAAGAGGTGAAAAATCGTCTCGAGCCAAATATGCATAAAACGACCATTATTGTTAATGGCAGAAGTACTATCATGATATTTAATATGCAGAACCCGTTGGTCTTTTCTCGCTCCCTCTCGCACTGGCTTTATGTTCGCTCCGAGACTTCTTCTACTTCCAAGCTTGGCTGCAGTGATACGTACATACACCGACGTGAGGAATATGTAATGCGATGGGGATATCGTTTTAATCGCGACGATCATGATCGTTCAGTCACTTCGAGACATCGATTCTCGTATATGCATATACGTTTGGCCAACGACGAAAAAGGCCGATCGGCCGGAAGTTCGCTCGAGTCGTTGCATCGACGTTGTAATAATGCCTCAGGACGTCTGGTTGGTTCGAGGAGTAGGGACATTTTATTGAAGCGAGCAGACATGATTTTTTCAAATGCCTCACCGGACATTTAATTAAATTAGACTTTTGGATTTTCACTGCACATGAGAACGTATTTTCTTGTTGCAGGCAGTGTAGAGTGCTTTGTTGAAATAATGTTTCTTCGAACGAAATGTTTAGTGGGCGGCTCTGCAGTAAGTGAATAAACCAATTGGCTGTGCTAAATTAAAAAGCCACAATGACTCGACTCTTGTAATGATTTTTTTCTTTTTCGTCGCAAAGGATAATCCGAAAAATCTACCAGCGATTTTCAATGTATTTTATCATTCTCGAAGAACAAAAGCAACGCATAAATCGCAAGTGAAGCCGAGAGCTTTAAACGACACGCGGCTTTCTTTTGACGCGTGCGTGCGATGATCCGTGCAGGCGTACTGCTAAATCTTGTAAAAAGCAGCCCAGCTGTCGGGCGCACAAAAGTGCGAGCAGAAAAACGGGTAGTCGAGCGAGGCCAAAAATCCACGGCCTCCTGCAGTCCCGACTTTCGGTAGCCAAGGTAGCACAGTCCATGAGCTAAATTATTCGGAAAATGCAAAAGAAGCCGAAAAGCCGCCGCGACGTTGGCTCGTCGATAAATCGCTCCTGCGGCTCTGCTGGACTAACGCAGCCGAATAGGTGGATGCGATCCGAACGAAAGTCGCCGGACTGGACTGCTGCACGGAGGAGAAGGCGCGATATGTATACAGAAGATCGGGCCGGCCAGCCACGCGCGCGACTACGAGCTTCGGGGCGGGGGAGCCGAGCTGCTATAAGAGCTCCTGCCTCGGCCTCGGCTCGAGCTAGTGCACACCCGACTATATCCTACGACGCTCCTCGTGTGCGCCAGTCCGCACCGCACAAGCAAGTGAATTTACACGCGTACCGTAATCAGACTGTGCGACGAGTATTTAAATAAACAACGGGATTTTGTGACAAGCTGCGCATCAACATGTTGCCTCCACGTCTCGACCTTTGCCTCGTAAGTTTGCATTCTTTTTTTCCGCAGTGATCTTTTTAAGTTCATTTTATCCCAGTGAATAGACATTTTTAAACTCAACTAATATGGTTCGAAAATTATTTTATACTTTATTTTTATATAAGTATATTACGCATTGGAAGTGCAGTGAATATCTGTCGTTTAATATTTACTTGAAATTTTATACATCAAATATTAAGTACTGCAGCTCTCATATATTTACTCAAGTTTTACGATCAACGCGTAAAAAGCGTATAAATCGAATAGATATGTGTAAACTGTGTAATGGAGAAATTATTTGCGAAAGAAAATCCTTAACGATCTCACGCTCGCTTCGACTCGGGACAGTCTTTGTGCACGAAATATAAATCTCCAATTGGCGCGATCGATTGTCCGCGACACTGCACCGTGTCTCGCGGGATATATGTATATATCTATAACGGCAGACAAAAAAGCTCCACGCCGAGTCGTGTTTGAAGTTTTTGTCTCGTAATGGATTGCCATTGTTTTACATCATATCTGCCTGCCCCCTTTTCATTTGTCAAAAACAACCGATCATTATCGCTCATACTTGGAATCAGATATTTATATATATACGACGATTTTTTTCGTCCTCTCTCTATAAATATAAGAAGGTGCTTATGCAATCGATTTTTGCTATTTTCAATTTGGACTTTCGACTAATCTAAATATTGAAATATTAAATCAGAGCAGATATTTGCCTGCACCGTCTTATGTCGATGCACTCGTTTATGTGTATGAATTCACAATGTGATTTATGTAAGTCACTTAACAAACGGTACACACACTTGGTCCCTTGTTTAAGAAAAAAAAAAGAGTATACTATCACGAAGATTACGTAAAAGCTGCGCGAGACAAACCAATACATTTTATCTCGCTGAAAAAAGATTTGGCGTAGTTAAGGAAGTTGCGTTAGAGATGATGGAATAGGTCGATTTTTCGTTTATTACAGGCCAACGCGCGCGCAGGCCACGCCGAGCTTGAGGCATTTCTCGGCTGCTTATTATACTCGCGCGAGCTGCGTTGGCTGAGCTCAAAAATCAGGGATAGTCACGGCTCTATTGTACTTTTAATTTTTACTTGCGGCTGAGCGTTTGAAAAAAAGTAATAATAATTGCCGAACGAAATTAAGCGTGTCACATATATAATATGCATGGTTCGTTGAACTTTTATTATGACATATATCGACCCACTTGTGCTATGCACGCATATGTACAGCTTTTGACCGAGCATTGTTGTACATAATCATGCGGCTCGGGACGCTTTTTCTTAACGCTCGAAATTCCCGATCCAAATTTACGATCAGATCAATGGTAAACGCGTTGCAGGAACTTATGTAAATGATCACTGTAGCGCTTGTACGATCACACGTCGCAATATTACTCGCTCGTTTAATTTCATCCGTGTTTACATCTCTGACACATTACATAGCACGTACGAGCTGTAAAGTAGAAAATTCAACCTGCTCGAGATAAACCGTTTAAACTTCTTCATCGAGATCGTTATCAAAATGTATCAGAAATTGCGAAAAATTAACGTCGGAAATCAATCAAGATCTGAATTTCATTAACGTCGCTCAACGATCTTGTTGCTGCACGAGGCTTGAATAATTTAGTCATAAAACGCCGTCGCCGCGCACGACTGTCTAGTGCGTATACGGCCGAGCTGTAATACTACTATCTTACTCCTTGGCAATAAAACTTTAACGGGCACGCGTACAAATTTTTTTCCACAAAGTTTCATGTAATTGCCCGTCGCAGAAACATATATGCCCCCCGTGAATTCTATGAAAATGAATTATCATTAGCCGGGGAGGGCAATAACAATTATTGTTATACACACGTTCTTACGAATCAATTTAAAAGCCATATTTTCCAATCGGCTGTATAACGATATGCAGTGCTGGCACAGTTCAAGAGGATATATCTAATTATGGAACAGTCAAAGTTTTTCGCCGTTACGCGCGCGTATCTTAAAAAGTTGGCCTAGCTCGAAAAATCGTTAATTAATCTATTTGGAAAAAGTCGGCAGCAGCTGGGATCGTTATAGGCATCGCTTGTATAAGCCACACGCGCGGCTGGACTTGAGAATCCAGATCACGAAAACGAGCCCCGCATTGCAGCGCGCCGAGTGCAGCGTATTATACGCGCCGCATATGTACGTAGTGCGTCGTCGAAAGGAGACAGAAGCGAAATTGCGCAAGTCCGCACTACTATACGGCTGCAGCCAGCCACAGGCCGTTGGGTGACTTTAAGGAGGCAAACAAAAAAAAATCACCTCATATATATAAATTACATAAGTTAACTCGGCTTTAAGGAGACCGGGTTTTTCTTTTCCGCGCACGAGCCTCGTGGAAAAATAGTAAAAACGGACTGCTTGAGTCACCGATCGTTTATGTATCGATGGAACTTTTTTACGCGGAAAACTGCTACATATGATTTGGCAAGGACTTTGGCAAGGACGGAAGATGTGTGTGTGTGTGTTTTAGAAGAGAAAAGATAATTTCGCAACTAGCTGAATCTGAAGCTGCTGGATCGAGCTGCAACTGCGCGTTACAATGATCGGAAAACGCCGCTAATATACGGGGTTTCGAGCGATGAAAGCCACGCGAGTACATCGCAATACCGCAGAGCACGTAGTTATTATTGCTAGAATATCTCGAGCGCGGCTCGACTCTCTCAGCTGTTTCTGCATCCGAGAAAAATTTCACGAGCCTGACCGCGTACACACGGCACACGACGTGTACTGCACAACGCTCGAGTGAAAGAAAAGCATACTTACGCGCTCGTGTAGCGCAGCAGCTGCATACGTATGCGCGGGCATTTTTTCCCGCTCTCGCCGACTCTTGCCGTTTTACAGCGGTCCGTCGTCGACCGATGGATGCAGAGAAACGCAACGTATACATATTATAGTGATCTTTCAATTTGAAAAACCAAAGTGACCGACGAATGTCTCTGGCGGTATAATATGTGCGCGTATTAATTTTCTTGGCGCGCGTTTTCACACGCACGCGCCACCGAGTCCAGCTCGCGCGCGCTGGCTCTCGAGCACGTATATTGTAAAAGGCAGGCGCGCACGCGAGCGGCCCGCGATTCTTTGTGCAGTTGCAGAAAAAGATAGCATAACTGATCCCGCACTGAAACACGATACAGTATTTTATACTTGTAATATATTTATATAAAAATTTACGCGCAGAAACAAAAGACCGCAAGCTTTGTGTCGGGCGCGATCGCAATTATGAATTTTCCCCTCGTTTCTTTTTTCTCGTGCTTATCGTTTTTCACAAAATCGAATATATCCCGCGATTCGATACAATGCCCATGCGTTAAAGAGAAAAAAAAACTTATAGCACTTTCTCGGTCAAGAGCAGCTGCACGTGTCTGCGTGTGCGTGCGGTACGTTTACATGATAATTCGACTCGCTCCTGGCTTGACCTACTTTACGTGCTTCGATGATGATATCGAGCATCTCGATCCAATTAGCCAACTATTCGCAAGCATTTTCACCTTTCCCCCCAAAGTCTAATTTAGATCGGAAAATTCAGACTCTCAACGGGCTCGACTCACGTGATATCGAGTAGAATCCCCGATCCTACCAACAATGCAACGAGTTACAACCATAAGTACGCATGGCATCTCTTTGAGCCAGACTATAGACTCGCGTTACGCCTAAAAGTGGAGTGTTGAATAATGACTCATTAGGATATGTATTAATTGGTTCGTAGGAGTGAAAAACGATGGAGATCGTAAGAGACGTATAGATAAGGTACGATACGCGCGGCAAGTCCTTGAAAAAGCCGACTTCCCGTTCGAAACGGGACGACGGCTCGTATCACTGCATTAAAACCTTGATTCTAAGCTCGCTATACATTATATCTGAGCAAGCAATTTATATAAAAAGTCGCGAACAAACGTAGCAATCATCGTTAAATTACGTCACGAACTTTCTTTCCGCAGAGAGCGCGCGAGGTGTGACAATTATAATATTAATCCTATCTCGCGGGTCTGTGTCCGGCTATGTATATATGTGCGAGTAAAGCGCGCACACACACGTGTGAGAAATACTTTATGCACTATAGCTCCTACTCAGTCCCACATATAACGACGCAGACACACAGACACACACATAGGCGTGAATATAATACGGAAACGAAAATTCTTCGATACATATCGAGCACTTTCACTTTCAGCGACTCTATATATACTGTATAAGCTGCTGCGCCGTGTGTAGCTCCGTATAGGTATAGGCGAGCTCGTGAAAAGTGAGCGTATTAAGTATGGGCTAGTTTGTATATACATATATCTTATCGCTGTTGACCATGTGCACATGTGGTGGCGGTCGCTCCTTGCCTACGCCACCGCAGCATGAGTCGCCGCCACCGCCACTGCTGCTGAATGTACGACATTTTTGCCCAAGGGGTTAATGGTCTCGCTGTGCATATATGCAGCCGTGCAGCAGAAGGAATGCGCAGGAGTTCGATACTTATCTTCTCATTGCAGCGATTTTTATTGAGCCCGAGACCATAATGGAGTAATAATCGGAATTCCAATGCAAAGGCAGCTTGTGTGAATCGAGTCGATCGCTATTTTAAACGATCGTCGTACTTGTACATTTTGTACTACAGAGCGAGCCCAAAGAGATGTTAAAAATTAATGAACATATCGCTCGTACCAACGCGCACGAGCAGCCCATTCGAATTTCGAGAACAGAGCTGCGCATATTGGATACAGATCCTTGCAGCTGCCCTCGCAGTCTCTTATATTAACGCGTGCCGCGCTTTATAATATCGTCTTACCGCACGCAGCGCAGCTTTTCAAGCTCACCTCGTGCTCGCGTAATTACTTTGCATTTTAATGCGCCGCTGATCTTTTACCTTTTTTCCTCTTCGTAGCTCGCACGCGTACACACGTTTCAAAATGCAAAGCAAACCCACAGATTAGAATCATTAATCGAGCTGTTACGACTTGATTTCCACTTTCTTA